GCGCGGCTCTCAAATGGTTGGCAAACCTCGAAGATTCCTAAAGGTAGAAGAGCCCGATGGATGATGGAATTAAAATGCATAATTATACCTAAATTCCTCGTTCATTTTTTAACAATTTAACAAAGAAGATGAGGACCAAAAGAATGAACGCCAAAATGGCTTGCGTCTTATGTCGTAATTTAAGAACAAGATGTAAGGGGACGAGTTACGAACCTTCCCCGGCGTTCTGATTCAATTGTTACACAAAAAGGTGCTTTAACATTATTTGAATATGGAATTGCATTATCGATACGCGATAATTTATGTTTAACATAAGCGAACCCCTTGTTAGCATTGCAATATTTTAATAAGTATAGAGATATTTCTTTTTATATTTTGGATAGTATGGCTGATATGGATTACTCACCATCCAGTATGGGGGATCTTGTGGGAAAATCTTATTCACATTTTTCAAAACAAGGATGCATATCATTTATTTAATAATCCACTTCCATATGATCATTGGGAGATTTGGGAACCAAACCCTTTGAGAAGGTTATTTACATCTTGGTTCATCTAAAAAGTTAAAAATGGTTTAAGAAAATGAAGTCGTAATCAATTCTTGTTATTAATTAGCGTAATAGTTTTCACCACTTAACTCTGAAAAATGATCCATGAAAAAATAAAGAATGTTATAATAATCTGTATTTATATGATATATAAATCTCAAATTTTGTGATATTTTCTTAGAAAGAATTTTTATTTCAGTAATATCTTTAATATTCGGGGTTACTTATTTTCGGATGAATACGATAATAAATTTTGTCAAATCATATAATATTTAAACAATAAATAATGTATAAATTTATTTATTAGAAATGGCTTATTGATAGTTATATTAGTTATATTGAACTCTATATATTGGAAAATAAGCAGATTTTCATCTTTAGATATCATAGAATTAGTAGAAATACCAATTATAAGCCATTACCAAATGGTATATCAAATTTAAAGATAGCAATATAATGAAATCCTTTAATTTATTCTAAAAAATTAATTATTATAATATATAAATTTATGATGAAATGATATTTATATTAAAAATTATATTACAAGAAAAAAATCTAAACTAACGATATAATAACCATATAAATAAGGTACATTTTAAAATATACATAAGATTTTTACAAAAAGAGGAGTTGTTGGGCGATTAAAACATCTAAAAGTCTATCAATTCTTTAACATATCGATTAACTCCAACCAAAGACTTTACGACAGACACCAACTTAATAAGTTCATTTGTAAGATGACTTGTTTTAATAAGATAGGCACAATAGCAAGCATAAGCTGGTGTCTCTAAATCCTCTTTCGTTAACCCAGAAGCTGTCTGTCTAATCTTTCTTGAAATTCTATAACCTAAACTAACTTGTCCAAACTTTGTCTCAGTTGAAGAAACAATATTATAGGGCGGTAAAGGGACTCGATTTTCCAATGCTGTTGATAAGATATGAAATGCTGTCAAAATATGTGTGATATAATAACATTTCAATGGATCTAAAACATCAGCTAAATCTGTTTTCCATTCAGTCCCATTTAATCCATGTATTGTATATTCTATTCCGCTTACAAGATTAACCATATGTTCTACGATCTCTATCATGCGCGCATATTTTTCCATAGGATAATTTCCTCTTAATGGAGGTTCGTACACTGTACGAGATAAAAGTAATCGTTCAATAGCTATGGATCGATTAATTCTAGTGACGAGTTTGCGGAATGGTTTTGTTGTTATAAGATTACCGGAATACTTGTCTCCTTTAATAAGGTAAGAAACCGTCATTGAGTAAAGAACTCCAATGTCTGCGATTGTACGTGCGAGTCGATGGCGAACTTCGACACGTCCAGTATGAGGCCAAGGAATCATATTCATGACAAAAGCTGCTGTAATACCAATGCTTACGGCTGTCGTTCGCTGTTTTTATATATAAAGATAAAAGTGAGAATCTTTTATTATAGAATATTTCAAATTTAATCTTCGAGCAAAAAAAAAAAAATTTGTATAAACAAACCTTTGCAGCTATAGTGTAAATGTCATCAACACCGACACCATGACTGGCTTGATATGCATTTGTAAGAACCAATGGGAAGTTCACCAACATAATAATACCACCAACAGTCCATACTTTCGCATTCAGGTAGACAAACCAAAGAAGAAGAGAAAATAAAAACAAGACAGATGCCAAACCATATACGTTGCCATTAGTCATTTTCCATGCTATTAATGCCATTACTGCACCTATACCCACACCGAGAAGTCGACCCAAAAATTGAAGGACTGCGCCACCGGTCGTGGGTGCAAACGAAAGTACAGCACTAACAACTGCCCACTATTATAATTGCCAAGAAAATAAATTATTATAATTTTAAAAAATACCGTTTAACTATTAAAAAAAACTCATCTCTACTTACCTGACCGCGATAAGTATCGAACCACTCATAAGATCCGGGTAAAAATGCCGGCAAACTTAGACAGGTAACAACCAAAGTGTTCTTGAAGGCAAATACCGCATATTTACTATCAAACCAGTTTCTTATACGCCAAAGATTATACCAGAATTTTTGAATTGAATTTGATGGCGGAGTTACATCAGGATCAAAAACTTCATTTCCAAGTTCCTCCTCCTCCTCTTGTCTAGTTTTATGTTCAAAAATTTTCCACCCATCTTCATCAATTTCACCAAAATTTCTAATTCGTTTTAAAATTGGTATCATAGGAAACCAAAATTTCTTGGATTGCCTTGTAGTCGAAAGAACTTTAACTAATCCTACCAAGAAACCAAGACTCTCAGCAACCTCTTTAAGACTATTCTCAAAAAGGATCAGCAACAATAATAATCTCTGTGGAGAAGGACTGATTGTACGTGTTTCAGCAAACAAACGAGTCAAACTTTCCTCGCGTGAGTCATTGAATTTTGCAATGGCCTCCTGTAAGTAACCAAAAGGATCATCAAGAACGTTTTTATTATGATCCGCTCTAGGTTTAAGTTTGAATGGCCACCATCGGTAATACCATGGTTCACGACAATTATGTTGCAGATGATCCACACGTGCAATACAATCTGCTAAACACAATTGACATGCTTCTGAAAGTTCAGTACAAATAGGTTGAAGGATCTTTAAAAGGTTCGTAAGATCCTCTTCATTTGCAGCTGTTCCTATGGTACTTGTGGGCGAAAGAGGTTCGTCTAAAGATGTTTGATCCGTAAATGATTGACGATCAGTATTACCATCAATTCTAATTTCTACTGTGCCTTCTTGCCCATCTCTCATTAATTCTTCTTCGATCACACCACTTAAGGCTAAACCTCCTAACGTCATATGCATAGATTTAATGAGTCTGGTTATTTCCAAAATATCTTCTTGCCCAATTTTCGAAAAGGAGAGTTCATGTTGAGCTTCTCGTCTTGCAATGTCAAGATTTGCAAGATTATCTTGTACTGTCCTATGAAGTTTAGCAATAGTATTTCTATTGTATGTATCTCGAAGGAAAAAATGGGTTTCTTGATCAAGTAAATCAATAAAGCTTTGTAATGTTTCGTGTAAGTATGGAATATAATTTGTTGTAGCATGTTCTGGCCATAATAAGATATTAACCAAGAGAGAGCATGCAGGTCCGATCAACATTGGAATTAACAAGGATTTCTAAATAAATAAATGAAAAAATAGTAAAAAAAATGAATTTTAGTGCGGTACAATAACACTATAAATTAGAAATAAATGGTACTTACTATAATTTGAATTGTATTGTGAGGTCTTACGTAAGCTTGTGTTAAAGAAAAGGTCATGATTATGCACGCATTTATGGCACCATATCGCATAGGTGGCCATTTAATTTTATCATATGATAAGATAAATGTTCCAACCGCTAAGAAAGAAACGTGTATTATAGTAGCCCAGAGATCGAACATTTGGCTAGGCTCACGTAATGCACTAGAAAATGTAATGCCGATTAAAGACCATGTTGTTGCCATACATGCTGCAATAATACCCCAACCGGCACTCTATTTATTTATTTAAACGAGATTATCAGATAATCACGTGTTTGAAAAACTTTTCACATTTTTTTACTAACCTCAAATAGCGAGCCAAAAGTTCTCGAAGGTTGAAAGTAGCAGACCATAACAATGGCTAAGAAAGTAGAAGAGCCTAATGATTTCATTACAGGTACAATCAAGTCAATCACATAAGCAAGCCAGTAAGCTACGGCCGCTTTTATTACCCTCTTCGCCATTGGCCAGGTTGCTTTTCTCATAATATAAAAGTATAGTTGAAGAATTCCTTTCTTTATATTGGACCATGTAGGTCGGGAGAAATGTCTTTTTGGTTTTTTTGGTTTCTCCGGTTTTTCTAGTCCTACTTTACCATGAAAATCTTTTGTATACTCGATATCGTTATTTGTCGAGGTAACTTTTTGAACAGCTCTAAAAAGTTCATCGCCTGTTAAAGTTAACTCATTATCGTAATAATGGTCTTCGGAGATAATATCATCGATAGCGCTAGAGCTACCACCCACAGTCTGCGGCGTTAAAGTTGTTATTGTCACCGTCGAAAGCGAGCGTGTTGGATGTGGCCTTACAGAATCCTCCATTGGTTGAAAATAATTGATAATGCACTTTTTAATCAAATTCTCATTTTATAGAATAAAGGAGTTTTGGTAGTCACATTTTCAGTTTGACGTTAAAAAAAAACATTTAAATGATGTTTGGAGCTTTACCAAAATTGAACTTTTGGCGCCATAAAAGAAACGATCACCTCCAATGATCCGCCTCAAATTAAAAAATGTTCCCATATGAATTGATTTTATTATCACGATTATTATCAGTAAAACTGTCAAAATCTACATTTTAATTCTGATCACTATCTGTGAATAGTTAATCGGAAATTATATTTGTATATCCGTTCAAAATATTTGCTTCTAGATTGAGATTGACATTCTATTTCATAAATATTTTAATTTTAATTTTTTATGTGGGAAAAAACCGCTAAAATGTTTCATTAATAAACAAATAATACAGAAGTTACAACTAATATTTTTTTTTAGTTAAAGTTCTCTATAAGAACAACGAATATTTTAATGTAACGAACAAGATTTATTAAATATATAAAATTAGTTTCATTTTTACAAGAGAACTTCGACAGTTTATAAAATGTTCTGATCAAAATTTGAGGAAAATATTTGTACTCTAACCATTTATATGAAAAAATTTTTTTTATTAAAAGTATAAATTAAATTTATTAAATAAAAATTTAAATTAATAATAGTTCAATTAGATAGATAATTTAATTATTTTTTAAGCATTTCGGCCTTTTGAGCAACTATATCTTGACTAACAAAAGTACGACCTTGTTCTACACCAGGAACCAAATAAGAAATATCATCCCACGGATGACGATATAAACCTTGCTTGAGTCTCTTTTGATCAAGATAATGCCCTAAAAAAAATAATAATAAAAATAAAGAAATAATTAATATATATCACTTTTATAATTAAAAAGAAAGGGTGAGTAAATACTAACCAGTAAATCCTATACTTCTTCCTAATACAAATAATCCATTTAAGGCTCCAATTTTAATATATTCTTCTGCCTCTTCTCTACTAAAAGCACCTGATTCTCTTAATAAGTCGACAAAACAAGCTGCGATTGCTCCATCAAGATTAAGGATTAAAGAATCCTTTTTAGTGGTAGTAATTTCTTCAACAGCTAAGGCATAATCAAGCAAATTTGTTGCAGGAAAGTTCTTTTTGGCAAATTCTTTAATAATCTCTACACGAAGATCTGGATTATTACGAGATTTGATTTTATGTCCTATACCAAGAATTCTAAATTAAAAAAAGAATAAATTAAATAATTTTCACTGTAAAAAAATTTAGCTTAATAAATTCGAAAAAACTAACAATTTGTTTTGCCTACGCATCGAATCCACAAACTCACGAGGTGTCAAGCCTTTATCATACGCACTTGTAAACAATTCAGCTGCTCCATCAAGAGCACCACCAAATCTGTCTCCCTACATAATATTATTTAACAAGAAAATTCTTATATAGTAATTACAAAAAAAAAAAAAAAAGTTAAATTATCGCTAAACCTGTAACATACGATTGTTAACAAGCCAGCGCATAAACTTGATATAAGATCTTTTCCTGCTCGAGCAGTGACAATTGTATTATGAGCACTAATAAAAAAAAAGGAAAAAGAAAAGTTACGATAAATCAATTAGAAATAAATTATATCCTAAACAAAAACATGTTAAATACCCAGAAACAGCAGGACCGTGATCTGCAGTCAACATGAGTATCATTTCAATAAATGTACAAGCATAATCCGGTAGTCTTCTTTTAAACCATAATAAGCTCAAAACTCCTCCAATACCAATATTTTCCTTGAATACATCGGAAATTCTCATTCCTGCATATAATAACTCTTGACCACGGTCATCGCAAATAGTCGACACAAAACTTGCAGGCTTTCGAACCAACCCAAGTTCTTGTGCCCAAGAATAATCAATAGGTATTTTGGGCGTCTCGGGTTCCGGGACTACTTTAATAGTACCATCAGATACAAGTTTATGGAATGTATCATGTAATGATAATGGTAATTTTTCAAATGTTTCCGGAACAATTCCACCTGCTTCTCTAAGAGCATTATTTTTTGCATCAGCGGTTTCAAGATCTGATTGTGCTAAAGCACCTGCATGACCAAATTGAACTTCCGTTGCAAACATTTTAGCACAAGTACCAATACACCAAGCAATCAATGGTTTCTTGATTCGTCCATCTTTGAGAGCCTCACAAACTTTATATTCTTCGACACCGCCGACTTCTCCGAGCAAAACTAAGATTTTACATTTTGGATCACCCTCAAAACGCAATAAATGGTCGATAAATGTTGATCCAGGATAACGATCACCACCAATTGCAACTCCTTCATATACACCATCTGTTGTCCTTGAAATGATATTATTCAACTCGTTGGACATACCACCTGATTTTGATACATAAGCTATTGAACCAGGTCGATATAATTTAGATGAAACGATGTTATCCATCATTCCACCCGTATTACCAATTTTGAAACAACCTGGTTTGATACCACCAACGGTCGCAGGACCAATTATGAGAACCTTTTTTTTCTCGGCTTCATGAAGGATTTGTCTTGCACGACGCTCAGGAACTCCTTCTGCAATTATGGCAATAGTTTTAATTTGGTTCGAGTATTTGAAGAAATCAAAGGTAGAATCATAAACTGATCGAGAAGAAGCAAAATTCACAACGGTATCAACTTCAGGAAAATTTTTGATGGCATCTTCAAAGTTATTAAAAACACTTAATAAGGTTTCTTTTGTACCCCAATAAAATTTTTGAACATGATTTCCACCAAATGGATAAATCATGGCAGCCACGGAAGGTATCTGACGTTTGCATATAAAATCAAAATCTAACATTCCTTGTACAGCACGTGGTTGCATCCCATATACGAAGGCACGCGTTTCACTTGTAAATATTGAATACCAAGGACGTTGGCTTATTCCAGGATTTTCAAAGAACGTCATCCTTTCACGTGGATCAGCTATAGGAGTTGTTGGTCTAGAATGAGATTCCTTTGATTCTTCAGAAACTCCAAGAGCGTCATCAATATCTTTTTTGCCTTTTGATAAAGGAGTGGATGTTCCAAAAAGTTGATTTTGAAGTGTGTTTCCTGAAGAATCAAGTTGATCCGTAACAATATTATTAAGTCCTGACCCATGTCCCAGCAAGGCTAAAGGTATAATTTCAGTAATATGTGTTTCGGGGCCGAACACACTAATTTCTACACCAATTTCGTCCCCTAATTGCCTCATGGCCCTTAACCCTTCTTGATAATTTGGACCACCACGCCTTACAAAAATTTTAGCCTTATGAACAATTAAAGGTTGTTTGAATTCTTGTAATGCACGGATTAAGCCTTTAAAAGTAACTGCAACATTGGTAAAATTTGCAATACCACCACCAATGATTAAAATTTTTCCATCAGGATGAACTACGGGATTGCGAGTCATCAATTCAAGGATCGTTTTTGCATATTCATAAGTTTGAGTTTCAGTTGGTGCTCCAGAATATTCACCATAATTGGCGAGTTCATGGGCAAACCCTAATGCAGAAATCGCATCGCTGTTTTAAAATGTGAATTAATCAAATGAATAACGCGCTTCAAGATTATATTACAAGAGATAAATGAATAAATAATTTTACCTGTAAACGACCGAAGCACCACCACCAGCAACCATGGTCCATATTCTACCATCTTTATTTAAAATGGTTAACTTTAATGATGCTCCAGTTTTCGAATCTAATTCTTGAATATAAGCTTCTTCTCTGGTCGATTCTCGACCAAAGGGTGCAGGGAACTCCATTGGAGGTCCTTGATCAATTTGAGTCTTTGTTGACTTAGTATTAACTGCTAGTCCTATACTGCTCGGAGCACGAGCAATAGCCCATTTTGGCCCAGCTTCAAATTCACCTGTTTGATCTAACTTCGCAGCCAAATCAAGTGAAAATATATTTGGTACTTCATCATCAGAAGTAGAATCAAGCACCACCAATGGATTGATTTCAAGGTATGTAAATTGTAAATCGACATATACAGCATATAAACGAGATATAAAGTCTACTAAAACATTTTTTTTGGAATCAGAAACATTTACTAATAGTTTCTCCTTAATTTCTTGTGGGCTTGGATAAGAATCGTCCACCGGAATTAAAAGTTTTAATGCCTTTACATCAACATCGCCCACTTCAATACCGCCTTCATGGGTGAATAAAATATAATCACCTTCCCGGACAGAATTAATATTGATATAATATTCGGTATCAGAAGGATGAGGTACAAATGGTTCAACAATAAAGGTTTTCAATACTCCTGTTACTTTATCGACCTAAACGAATAAATTAATAGTAAGCAAATATCGACTCCAAAGTATATTATCTTTATTTAGGATATATATTCACCTTAATTTCTTTGCCGGCTCTTTCAATGATCCATTCTTTAACCTGTTGCCAATCAGAGTTCAACAATAATAACCCAGATTTTCCACGCCTTTTTATAAGTTGATCTGGTTTAGCTACCAATTTATCAGTTAATAACCATGGATGAGTTTGTTCAAGAATATTAAGAGTTTGTTGAACATGATTACTAAAAGCTACGGGAGGATTATTAATCAGTGTGTCTTTTAATATGGAAGTATCGAAAGCAACATGGGCAACTTTAGTTGCCAGTGGAACAAATTTAGAAATGGATGAGTTTTCAATTAGAGAAGGAGAACGTAAAAGCCAATATGCTAATAATAGCTTTCCATCATATTCCCTAATAGCTTTTGCAGACATAATGGATTTTCATTAAAAAAAAAAATCGCGAAAAAGCAATTTTTTTAAAAAATAGATATACATATATATATATCCCCGAATGCCCCAAATATTTTGCGTTGATCATGTCCATAATTTTATTAGACCGATCATCAGGTGTCAGCTTCTTTTATAATTTGCAACAGGTTTAACCCTTCTTTAATAATAAATTAAATTATTCAAAAAATCACATTTTTCTCGTTTTATCGAATATTCATTTTCTATTTCTGGATTTATATAAAAAAAAAAAAAATCGTTTTATAGAATATGAAATCAAATGTTCTTTAAATTAAAACATCCAACAACACTTGGTAATGGGGACTCTATTAACAAATGTAGTAAGACTATATGAGAAACAATTGATGTATATAAACTCAAGAAAGAATGATGCGAGAGTATTGTATTGCTTTAAGGTATGTTTGGTATTACGAATACCAAACATAGTTATTCCAAAACATCTTCGACATTGAATAAACTCAAAACCTTAAATTCTATTGCGATTCACCTATTTTTTTCGATTATAATTTTATTCATCTGAAATTACACTAAAGAACACACCATATATATAAACCATTAATTCTTGCCTATGTAAATTACTTTACAAAACAAATATGTTGTCTCTATACTACCCCAGATAAACTATCTACACTAATACATTCTTTTCAACATTAACTCCATGGTCCGGTTTCATTGATAATCATAGAATAAGTTATTAGTATATATGGGACATAGCATAGCGTTTTTTTGCATTTTTAAACTCGATGCGGTAGTGCTTTGACTATATTAACAAACAAGTAATAATATAATTACATACAAGAAGTCTATGCAAAGTAAAAGATACTAACTCTGATTAAAATAAAAATTAAACCAAGTTCAACCAGGTACTATTGACAACCAGGCTGGATTATGAAATTTCAACCAAATTTCATCACTGCCAAAAAGTGAGTAGTTAATACTCGCTAATAATCTTGTGGCTGTTGTGAATAAATGTATCAATAAAAGTAATCCAATTAGAATACTTATCATCTATAAAATGAATTAAAGGGTCAATATTATATAAATTTGTAATAAATGATATATTACGATTAGAAGGAGCTTTGCATTTTTGACAGAGGCTTATATCTAAAAGATTTTCTTTAGTGATCATTAATGAATATTTTGGGATCCAAACCACCTCCACCATTCAGAATGGCATTTTAATGTTAAAAACAACAATTTTGTTGTTTTTTAACAATAATCCACCTCTGATGTTTGGAACGGCATTTTAATGTTAAAAAAACAACAATTTTTTTTTTTAACAAAAATCCACTTCCGCTGTTCAGAACAGCATTTCACTGTTAAAAAACAACAATTTTGTTTTCAAAAATCCACCTCTAACGTTCAGATCGGCATTTTATTATTAAACATTAATTTTTTTAATAATAAATGCTGCTTCTGACTTTTCAGGATGGCATTTTGTTATTAAAAATTAATAAAAAATTAATTATTTAATAATAAATGCTGCCTCTGAATTTCAGGGTGGCATTTTAATATTAAAAATTATTAAAAATGAATTTTTTAATAATAAATGCTGCCTCCAACTTTCGGAATAGCATTTTATTATTAAAAATTGATTTTTTTAATAATAAATGCCACGACTGACTTTTAGGGCAGCATTTAAATATTAAAAATTAATAAAAATGAAATTTTTAATAATAAATGCCACGTCCGACTTTTAGAGCAGCATTTTAATATAAAAAATTAATAAAAATTAATTTTTTATTAATAAATACCACATCCGACTTTCAGGGTGGAATTTTATTATTAAACATTAATTTTTTTAATAATAGATGCCACCTCCAACTTTCAGGACAGCATTTTGTTATTAAAAATTAATAAAAAATTAATTTTTTATTAATAAATGCTACCTCTGAATTTTGGGCAGCATTTTAATATTAAAAATTATTAAAAATGTATTTTTTAATAATAAATGCTGTCTCTGAATTTTGGGATGGCATCTTAATATTAAAAATTATTAAAAATGGATTTTTTAATAATAAATGCTGCCTCTAACTTTCGGGATGACATTTTAATATAAAAAATTAATAAAAATAATTTTTTTATTAATAAATACTATACTGTATCTGACTTTTGGGGTGGCAATTTATTATTAAACATTAATTTTTTTAATAATAAATGCTACCTCCGACTTTCAGGATGGCATTTTGTTATTAAATATTAATAAAAATTGAATTTTTTAATAATAAATGCTACATCCAACTTTTAGAGTGGCATTTAAATATTAAAAATTATTAAAAATTAATTTTTTAATAATAAATGCTGTGTTTGACTATCGGGATGGCATTTTGTTATAAAAAATTAATAAAAAATTAATAAAAATTAATTTTTTTAATAATAAATGCTGAGTCTGACTTTTAGGATGGTATTTTGTTATTAAAAATTAATTTTTTATTAATTTTTTTAATAATAAATGCTATGTCTGACTTTCAGAATAGCATTTTATTATAAAATTAATAAAAAATTAATTTTTTATTAATAAATGCTGTCTCTAACTTTTAGGGTAACATTTTAATATTAAAAATTATTAAAAATGAATTTTTTAATATTAAATGCTGTGTCTGACTTTTGGGCAGTATTTTAATATAAAAATTAATAAAAATTGATTTTTTTATTAATAAATGCTATGTCTGACTTTTGGGATGGCATTTTATTATTAAATATTAATTTTTTTTAATAATAAATGCTGCGTCTGACTATCGGGACGGCATTTTATTATAAAAAATTAATAAAAAATTAATAAAATTAATTTTTTAATAATAAATGTCACATCTGACTTTCGGAATGGCATTTTGTTATTAAAAATTAATAAAAAATTAATTATTTATTAATAAATGCTGCCTCTAACTTTCGGGATGGCATTTTGTTATAAAAATTAATAAAAATTTAAGTTTTTTAATAATAATGCTATGTCTGACTTTCAGGATAGCATTTGTTATAAATTTAATAAAAAATTAAATTTTTATTAATAAATACCATCCTGACTTTCAGGGCGGCATTTTATTATTAAACATTAATTTTTTTTAATAATAAATGCTGCCTCTGACTTTCGGAATGGCATTTGTTATTAAAAATTAATAAAAATTAATTTTTTAATAATAAATATTGTGTCTGACTTTTGGGCAGCATTTTATTATTAAAAATTAAATTTTTTCAATAATAAATGTCGTGTTTGACTTTAGGACAGCATTTTATTATTAAAAATTAAATTTTTTTAATAATAAATGACGCGTCTGACTTCAGGACAGCATTTTTTATTTCAAATTTAATAAATTAGATCTGAATCTAAATCTGAATCTGATGGATCAAATCTAAATCTAAATCTGAATTCATCAGATTGAATCAAATCCAATCTAAATCTGATTCAGATCTGATAGATTGAATCTATTCAATCCGATCTGTCAGATTCAGATCAGATTCAGATTGAATTGGATTTTTTGCGAAACACTAATTGAAACTATATTAAAAATATAGTAAGGGTATGACAAAATTATTTTAAAAGAGTTTTAATAAACATCTTTATTCATAATATAAATTTTTATTAATTATTATAAACTTTTAAAATTTTTTTATTATTATAAGTTTTATATCATAATATTATAAAATACTATGTTATAAATTTTTAAAATTTAGTATTATCATAAATTTTACATAATACTATACTGTAATTAAAGCTTCAAAAGGTTTAGATCAATGTGAAAATATTTCAGATCAGTTCAGTTTTTTTCAATTCAGATTGTAAAAAATCAATCTGAAAAATTTTAAATACATTCAGATTTTTTCAGATTATAATTCAATCTGAATTGAAAAAAAATCTGAATTGAATTGATTCAATCTGAAAATTTCAGATTTATTTAAAGTTTTAATTAATAATAAATGCCTTTACTTTTAAGACATCTTTTATTAGAAAAATAACAAATAAAAGTCATATCTGAATTATCAAAAGTGACTTTAAAAATATAATAAAATCAAAACTGAATTATCAGAAGTGACTTTTATTAGAAAAAATACTAATAAAGTTATTTCTAACAGTTTAGGTATAATATTTATTATAACTAAGTAACAGAAACTGTTAGGAACATCTGAAGCGTTAATTAATATAAAAATATCTTTAATACTATTTATTTATAAAGTTAAAAAAATACAATTAATTAAAAAATGTCTGTATTATTAAATTAAAAATTATCAATTCCTAACTTTATTAGAATAATTTAATCGTATTTTATAATTTCACCACATTGATCTTTTTTAAATAGTTAAATAAATGTTCAAAAAACTGAGAAAATTAAGTATTACACAAAATAATTAACAGAAACATAATTGGCAGATTATGTGTAGTGACAGATACCACATGCATAGTTTTAGATCTAATTAAAAATATTTTATGCTACGCTTCAGATAAAAATAGTCACATTAAACTGTCAATACTAGAAAAATAATAATAACAGTCAGATCCAAACTGTTAGAAGTGATAATTATTATATAAAATAATAATAAAAGTAATACCCAAACTGGCAAAATGACTTTTATTAGAAAAAATGATAATAAAGTTATCTTTGATAGTTAAAGTGTTATAAAAAAGTCATCTCTGATACTTCAGATATAACTTTCATTAGTATTTTCTAATAAAAGTCATATCTGACAGTTCAGATGTAGTTTTTATTATTTTTTTTTATAATAAAATCATCTTATAGTTCAAATGTGATTTTATTATCATATTTTATAATAACAGTTACCTTTGATAGATTGGATGCAACTTTAATTACTTTAATTATTATATTTTATAATAAAAGTCTTCTGAATAGTTTAAATAGGAATTTATTATTATTTTTTATAATAAAAGTCACTTCTAATACTTTAAATTCAATTTTTCTAATAAAAACATATCTGAATTATCAGAGACAATTTTTTATAGCATCAGAACT